TTCCTGTTAATTAATCACGCATCACCTTTTACGGCGGGTGAGTTTGAGATTAAGGAGTAATGGGTTGGGGTCCATGGAGATTGCCTTCTGAAGGGGGGGAGGACTGGGGAAGGCGGGGGGGCGTAGTTACAGCAGTAAGACTGTCACTCCTCACATATCCTTAGTGTTCGCTTCGCAGATATGCGGAAAAAGAAACCTGGTTTCAGCATTTCGAAATGTAAAAGCTGTATATATCATAAGTCAAACAGTCCTTGAGCTGAATTTTTTAATTGTGGAGAACCAGGTTCTAAACTCGCTAGTGCCCACCTGTTCCAGATCCACAAGACCAAAAGCTGCTATCTTCTCTCGCAAATGTTCTTGTAGGGGCTCAGAAGAGCGACAGATGAGAAGATCGGGAACAAGTCCAGCTGCACGCAAATGTCGTACCTACATGAAATGAAAACAGTTCTTCTAGGCCACTCTCAAGACAGTCGAGATGCCCTACCGAATTCTGCATGGGTTTGGTTTTCGGTTCACCTGTTGCATTAGGGTGCATTACAAGAGATACGTGAACATTCATGAGATGATCCTGCAAGGTTCTCCATTACTGACTTTACAAGTATTCAAAGTTCGACATTTCAAAGGGTCTTGAACTCACTCTCAACGCCGGCCGCTGGAAACGCTCGAAAGCGGCAAGATAGGACATGCCTTCAATGTCACCAATGGTCCCACCGAGCTGAAGGAAGTGATGCTTTATTTAAGGAGCCATCGGACTAGAATTTACAGCACAGGCTTACCTCTATTATACAGACATCAGGTCGCTCTTTCGTGCCATCCACTGGTATTCTAGCAACTCTTTCAACCCACTGGATGATTGCATCAGTGAAATGTGGAATCATCTGCACCGTCTTACCACAGTAATCACCACGACGCTCGCGTTCTGTTACCTGTGAGCGTTCAGAGACTGTAGGCAACACGCTCAAAAAATGGTATTATTGCTTGAACCGAAAGAGGTCTTCCACAACCGTGAGGCCCTGTTCAGACTTCGCTATGACGCGCGTCACCTGTTGCACTTGCAAGAGCGCTCCTATCCTATAGACGCAAACGCAGCAGCAGACGGGAATCGATCGGAGCTGGCTGTTTGCATTTGAGAGAGAGGGGGAAAGATAAAGATGGACAGAGATAGAGAGTGAGA